AACCGAAATTAACAATTTAAATTTTATATATCTTCCCGCCCTTTTGCGGTTTTAAAGCGTTGACATTTGGCCTTCTAAAATGCCATACAGTTTGGCGTTTGATGCACATAACCTCAAAAATCAGTAGTGTTCACGATGGCAATAATAAAAGAGCATATTTTCAGCATTCGATTTTCCATCCACTTTGCGTTTCATCTGAAGAAAAATACTGCTGAAGCCACTGCAATGATTTGTGCTGCATATGGAGAGAACGCTGTAAGTCATACTACATGTAAAAGATAGTATCAAAAATTTCGCCAAGGAGATTTGATCAGTCTTGAAGATGAACCGCGTGCTGGACACCCTCAAAAGATTGAAACGGACGAATTGCAAGCACTGCTGGATATAAACTCTGCGCAAACTGAAAAGGAGCTTGCACAACAGCTTGGCGTTACGCAGCAAACCATTTCCGTACGTTTACATATGATGGGAAAGGTTCAGAAGGAAGGCAGATGGGTTCCGCATGAATTGTCCGAAGACAACAAAAATCGTCGGCGTGACACTGCACTCACTTTGCTTTCAAAATTCCGGAAAAAAGATTTTCTGCACAAAATCATTAGGGCAATGAAAAGTGGATTCTTTATGATAACCCTAAACGTAGGAAATCATGGATTGACCCTAGTCAACCTTCGACATCGACGCCAAAACCCAATATCCACATCAAGAAGGTTTTGCTCTGTATCTGGTGGGATTGGAAAGGTATGTTGTATTACGAGTTGTTACAACCGAGTGAAACAATCACGGCAGACCGCTATCAACAATAATTGACCAATTTGAGCGATGTATTAGAAGAAAAGAGGCCATTTACTGACCAAGGACATCGTAAAGTGATCTTGCTTCATGACAATGCTCGACTACATGTTGCGAAAGCGACTCAGGATCATATCTTTGCGTTAGGCTGGGAACTTCTCCCGCACGCGGCGTATAGCCCAGACATGGCGCCTTCCGATTACTACCTATTCCGGTCCCTGCAGCATCATTTGGCTGATATATATTTCGTGAGATTTGAAGAGATACGAAAATGCATTGATGACTTTATCTCTTCGAAGCGGTGAGCTTCTATCGTCAAGGAATTCGCAAGCTATCCGAAAGATGGCAAAAGGTCATTGATGCAAACGGGGAATATTTCGCTGATTAATATTTTTTGTTTGTTTTTGTATAAAGATTGAATTTTACAAAAAAAAGCTCAGAACTTTTTTGTACCTAATACATACAAATAGTCTTTCTCATTGATTAAATACATCGACAATTCGATGATGAACTTAGTGCTAATAATGACACATTGTACGTTTAAATTGCGTAACTATCATTTCATAAAGTTGTATAATAGATTTTAAAAATGCAATAAATTCTTGAAATTTCTTTTCAGAAATTTCATTACTTGGAGTTTTCCCCAATATGACTTTTTCAGTACGTGAAGTCACCAATAATAAAACCAACAATAAACCAACCATAAACCATTTTGAAATTACTTACTTAAAATTACTTGAAATTACTTTAATGAACAAGGCTGTCGTCCAATATTCTTTTTTAAAATTTTGAATCGCTAGAAAGTTTAGACTAGAACAAGTATCATGAGACAAAAAAATTTTTGGCTTATTAACTTTCATTTTATTAAAAGTTCCACTCGAAAAATCGTCTATTTTTTTCAAATTCATCGTAAATTTTTTTTAAATTCAGCAAGTTCTTTTACATGCAAACAATTAACTATAGAGATTGATTATTTACACTAATGAATTTTGGAGGCAAGGTAACAGCTTTGTTATTAAGTAAACAGAATTTTAGATTCTTAAAAGATGGTCAGGATCAGTGATAAATTATAACTTACGATTATTGTCAACAGGATAGGTAATTGAGTTTATTATTGTCGAATGTCCAGCAGAACTAACATGGAACTTATACCATCGTTAAATTATTTGGCCCCATGTCGTTTGTATATAAAGTTTATGTACAAAAATCCGATAGATTCACTTTTTGAATGATTTCAATTACGATAGAGTATAATAATGCTCCATCATAGCTATCAGGTTGTTGTGATAGGCTACAACGTTATTAAGAATTAGTAGATTAGTCGGGTTCTCCAAGCCTAACGAGTTGGAACCCCAAGCAGGATCGTTGGGTGAAGGTTCTCCTCAAAATCACTTTCACTCACTTTTCGTAAACTGGTGAATTTATTCAGTTAGATACATAATAATTTTAATGTTACACTTTAGATTTCTTTTAATGCTGGTTTACAATATTTACAATTGCATTTGGATTTGTCGGGCAGTTCGCGTTACGCGGGAGGCCGACGAGCGTTACGTGACACTCGCTTATCTCGCGTGAGACTCGACGACGGACTTGGCTAATATATCCTTCCTGGATGATCTAATTTTAACTCCGAACGACTTATAATCTTGACTCTGCGTTCTCGCGTATATGAAAAAGTTCTGAGCTTTAGATTT